TTTTTCTTTTCCTGGTCACTAATTGCAATCTTATCTTCTATATCTGAAATTCTGTCCTCACATTGGTTCATTCTGCTGCATAGACTTTCAATGGAGTTTTTAATCTCCTGGAAATCTGTTTGCATCTGTTTTATGGATTTCATTTGCTTCCTGTGTTGGGATTCCATCATGTTCCTCAGATCCTCTATTTTTTTATCTGTGTCCTCTCTAGATTTATTAGCCATATCTTGCACTATGGGCATAATCTCTGGTCTTATGTGAGAAATTATTTCTGTTTTCATTTTTTCCAGATCCTCTTTTGGTGCCATTTCAGGGAGTCCAGGTGGTTGAGTATCAGATTGTTCCATCTCGTTTCCCTTTGGGGTCGCTGTAGGTGGTCTGGAAGTCTGTTTTTGAGGCTTATTTACATGTCTTCTCATTTCCATGGGTTGGGGGTGGGGGTGTTGCTGGCACCCATGCGGCTCACCTCTGCTGCCTTAGGAGCAGTGGATGACGGCAGGGAAGCCTCCTCCTGGGCACTGGGATTGGCTCACCTCCTCTGCCCTAGGAGCCATGGAGTGGCAGCGGCAGAGCCTCCTCCTGGGTGCTCGGATTGGCTCCACACTGATGTTCTTTCTCACCTGGACTCCTGTGATCATCCCACTTGACTAATTCTTAACATTAGATACCTCTATTATGTAGTATTTAAAAATCTTTTTCCAGAGACCTCATTTAGCCCAGAAACATAATACAAATTAATTTTCAGAAGAATGTTTAATAAAGCAGCCATGTTAGTGCATGCCCGTAACTCTGGGAGGCTGAGACAGGATGATCACAGCCACATAGAGACTTAGCGAGATTCTGTCTCTAAATAAAGAAAGGACTGGTTTTGTACCTCAGTGTTAAGGCCCTGAGTTCAATCCCTAGTACCAAAATATAAATAAAGGTAACAATATGTTTCATAAATATTGTGATATATAATAAAAGAAGATATTTATAGAAAATAAATTCATTTTTATTTAATTGGATTCCACGGGTTTTTGATAATATAGTAGTAGTTTGTCACTTAATATTTTATAATTTTTCAGCCTTGTCCCAACTTCTAATTGAGTCTGAATTTGATTCTTTTGTTTACCATAGAATCTAGGAAAACATTTAAAAGTACTTATTTGCTCCAATGGGAAGTGGTACAATAATATTAAATTTTCTCTAATGTGGCATGCGTGCATGCGTGTGTGTGTGTGTGTGTGTGTGTCTGTCTAGACAAGGACCAAACTGACTAAAATGAAAAACTCAGTTGATCAGTTGTGAACAGCTCATTTGTAGCTGAAAATGAGGAGCTTGGAAACACTGGTGCTACCCTCACATGCCGTAAAGCCATCTCCAGGCAAATGAAGCCATTGATTGAAAGGTCCATTTGGGGGTCTTAACGTAATTCAGCCTGTTTATTTGGGGTGGGCCAGTAACATTTCACATGTATATGGATTTTTGTTGGTCTCAATAGGAAATTGGCAGTGAAGATTGGCTGATTGTCTTAATCTCAGTTTCCTCTGTATAATCTTGGGAGTTACAGTTTCATCCAGCTACAGACTTCTAGAAATTCTACTATTCTTTGATTCATCCATTTAAAGCATATTCATAATCTCTACTTAGTAGTTCTCAGTATTGTTTTGAGCAGTTTAATCCTGTTGTTTGTGTGTCCGCTAATTCTCACTCAAGGTCTGATAGTTTTTTATGCATCATATAATTTTAGATTCTAAAGTCATCATCAAGTAATTATCTTTGGCAGTTTTACATGGCCTTCATTAAAATCATGTCCTATGAGAAAGTTTTAGTTATGCTTTCCACAAAGCACTACAGTTGTCACTGACACAGAGCCACTTTTCATATTTCGTTGGTTGGATAACAGTATCTTGTATCATGTAGTAATGTAGTATCAACCCCCCCCCAACCTGTGTGAGGTTAAACTACCAGATAAAAGAATGTTTTTTCTCCCTCTATTAGTAAGTAGATTTCTTTTCTAGATCATCCTTTAAGTTTAGCCCCTTAAGAATCTAAGTGTTATGAGAGAGTATTTCCTTTTCTGCTTCTTGTCTAATTTTGATTTTAAAGCCGCTCTTCTCCCTACATGGACATTTAAAACCAAGTACTAAATATTACTGAGAGAGACAAACTCCTTAGAGTATCTGATTCATTAACTCATATGCTTTCCTTTTATGGCAAGTAAAATTTCAGTCTTCCATAGTCCTCCCTGGTTGATCTCTTCCTAACACTTCTCTGTGGAGATTTCTATTGGGTATCTCATACGTAAACTTTTGAGGATATTTGTGGTTTATATACCTTAGGTATACAGGAGCTCATTTTAGTAGGATATTTAACCCTTGCTTAGGGACACTTCTCACTTAATCCCAATTCTAGATTTCACTGTTGTATTATTATTACCAGTAATACCTGTGCCACATCAAGACATTGCTAATTTACCTCTGAGATTCTTAATACCATGATAGAAAAAAATTATAAATTATCAAAATGTTTTATCTTTAATACCAAACACGAAATGTAAAATACTTAATGTTACCTCAGGCTTCAACCCAGTCATCCTAATTCCCATGTTTCTAATCTCTTTCTAGGATGTGTGCTGTGTTTGGGGGAATCTATTGTCTTCGCCATTCTGTACAGTGCCTTGTAGTGGAGAAAGAATCCAGAAAGTAAGGATGATATAAGTAACGTTCCTGTATCTATGCCCCTAAATACAGGTGAAAAATCCTAAAGTTGATTTTAAAAGAATGATTCTTGAAAAATCCTTGGTATTAATAACATATCAACTTTGATTAAAAGTAATTTGTGTTTAGGTCCTCCAGAACAAAGAAAGTGAGTTCAGAATATAGAAACTGAATTAATTTTCCTGCAGTATGACTATACAATAGAGTTCCTGATCATCCGAGCTTGGAAAACAAATCATTTCAGCTGCCCGGGGTGCATGATGAGTGATGTTAGTTTTCCTTTTGTCCTTACCTCCTCTAATTGATTTTCATCAGATGATAACAAAGCCCTCTGTTACTGCATTTTAAAAAATGAAGCTCACCTAAAGACTCATCAAATTGATCTCTGCTGATAATGCATGTCACTCTAAGAAAAAAGACTTTAATGAGTTTTTAGGTAGATTGTTATAATAAACTATGCTGCCCTGTTGTCTGAGGATAAGTTCTTTTATACCTGTGTCCAGCCTAAGGCTGGTTTCAGATTGAAATAAGAATTTATCTTCTTTTTAAAGAAAAGCTGAATACTCTATTTACCTGTGTATTTTCAAATTTCAATTATTTTTCTAGAATGTATTATTACTAAAATATGTACTTGTCTAAATTACATTAAATAAGATACTATTCTACATTTTCTAGGTTTTACACAAACTGAACTGGGTCAGGTAGATCAAGTTTTAGGAAGTATTGAAATTGCAGTGTTTTTCTTTCATGTTATAGTATATTCTTAAGTATCTCCTTACCTATATTTCTTGTATGACTGTTTGTAGGAGTATATAATGAACAAGAATTTTGGGGGTAACAAACTATCTTAATATTTCAAACTAGAATCTTAAACAGTATAAATTTTAACCTTTTTCTATTCATTTTACAATAATTTTGTTTAGTCCAAGTGGCATAAAATAGGTATTAACTTCTCGTAGACTAGTTATAGTACAATAAATTTGTATTTTGAAGGATAACAAAAATCTCACCTCTAGAAACATATAGTACTTAATGAATATGCAGTACTTTAAGAAAAATTGACACATGATTTAAATGTCTTGTAAAGTACTTTTAGCACTGTAACAGAAAGGTACTACATATATGAAACCTGATAATCTACAGTGAAAAAATATGTACCTAAAGGCCCAGGATATTCATATCTTGGCTTCTGAAGAGTTCTGTGGAAGTTCTTGAAGGAGTAGTGCTCTTTATTGCACCCAGAGTTGTTTTTCCTTATGCATTCATTTTGAATCAATAAAATGTCACCATGTCAGAAAGCTCGTTTGATGCTTATTTGCTTAAATCATCTTATCCTTTTGGGGCCCCATTCCAGTCCCACATTTTATTCTCAATGATGAGGACTTTGCATAGCTCTGTTACTTTTTTAAAAATGGGTGTTTTAATACAATAATACCATTAGTTAAACTAAAGGCTACATTTGCCTTACCGTTGACAGAGTTTTTATGATATATTCTGCACAAAGAAGCTCTTCTTTACTATTTGTGCAGATTTCAGTTGCACCAGGTAGCTGAAGGCTAAAGATTTAGAGACCAAAAGAACTGTCACATTGGTAGTTTTCAAACTTTAATGTGCCTAAGAATTACCACATACGCTTGTAGAAAAGACAAATTTCTATGACATCCCCTTAGAGAGTAGAATTGTATAATATATAGAGAGAACAGCCAGGAAATTTAGTTTTAAGGAACACCACAAGTGAAATCTAATGTAGGTACTTCTTAAAAGACACTGTGAAGCACTGGTATATAAGGTGAATTTAGCCAAGAGTACTATCCGATACACTGGGTGCTGTAGGGCCTAATTTATTCCAGTGCTTTATCAAGATGAACCTGCAAGATACACTGGCAATCAAATGTAAATTCTATATAGCAGGCAAACTGCTTCTAATGTGACATCCTTTATGTCTTCATAGAAAGACCTGAAACATAATATTTGCCATATAATAACACTTAACACGTATACTAAGGTCTGTTAGCCCTGAAATGAAAGAAGACAGAATTTTGCCACTACCGTAAATGACAGTGGGAAAGTCCTTTTCTCTGAAATAATTACTTTAATTGCAACATGAAATAGACAGACTGAGGTAATCGTGGAGTTCCAGATCTACCATGTTATAGTTTATTTACAGTTCATAGAAAGTACTTAGCTTTTATTTAATATTTAGAAATAAATAATCTTGAAATGTTTTATATGCCTAAATGTAAACTATTCTCACATATTAGATAACCTTTGCCAGGCATGGTGAAGCATGCCTATAATCCCAGCACTCAGGAGGCTGAGGCAGGAGATTTGCTGCAAGTTCAAGGCCAGTCTAGGCTACATAGTGCATTCAAGGCTATTTTGAACTACATAATGAGACCCTGTCTCAAGAAAAAAATTAGATAATCTTCATTCCCAGTGATAAAAGGCAAAATTGAACAATCTGTCTATTTTTATGAATAAAAACAAAATAGCACAAAATCTACTTTGTGTTACTTATGAGCAGAACCTCATTTTACCAATGAATATCATTTTCTTGTCTATCTTGGTTTTTAAAGATACAAACGTATTGCATATTGCATGCGATTCTTATACTGGAAAATTTATTCTAAGTTGTAACTTAATTTCTGTAATAATAGGACAGTTTTGTTTTTTGTGGTTTTTTTTTTGGTACTGGGGATCGAACTCGGGTCCTTGCACTTGCGCAGCAGGCGGTGAAACCGCTGAGCTAAATCCCCGGCCCTAAGACGGTTTTTAAAACTTGACTTACATTTATTATAATCCTGATTTCTGCTGTACTCTCACTATCTGAATTGCTTTAGTGATTTTTAAAGTTTTTTCTTATGAAGCAAGCATTACTTCAAATTGTTAGTTTATACCTTCCGTAATAACTACCAGATTTATATTAATTTTTCTCCTTTTTAAAAATCTATGCTAAGCTGGGCGTGGTGTACATGCCTGTAATCCCAGCACTGGAGAGGCAGAGGCAAGAGGATTGCCCCAAGTTCAAGGCTAGCCTGTGCTACATAGTGAGTTCAGGACCAGCCTGAATTACAAAGCGAGACCCTGTCTCAACCCTACTCCTGCCCCCGCCGAAATCTATTCTACCAAGTGAAATAATCTCTAAAGCTACTAGCATTGATTCAGATTGGTTCAGGCTAATGTGTTTTTCCCCAAGCTATTTTGTCATTCAACATCAAATATTTGATACAGATAACAGTAATACAGATTTTTCTTAAGACTTAAATATAAAGTGAAAGATACTTTTTTGAGGAAAAAACCTTGACCTTATAGTTGATTATATCTACCACACACTTCTTGTTAAGAAGGATAATGTAATTTAGAAAAGTATTTTACTTAGTATAATATTAAGTAAGGCATCTGCAAAGATTTACATTTGTCCCCTTATGGTTTTACTTTGCTTCTCTTTCCCTATATTTCTTTGTAGAACACTTGACATCCCTTCCTCCCTTTAGTTAGGAGCTCCTCATGCTTCAGGTCAGAGTTCCAAGTTTATTTCCTGATCCCACAGATTAGAACAGAACCCTCTTTTAGAACCTAAGTCAGATCCCCTTGTATACTTACTGATGAGCTCTCTATAAGTAAAGGAAGGACCTTAGTATTGCATCTCAAGAATCAAGGCAGGTTCCTAGCACCATTATACTCAATAACTTTGACTGAAATGAACAAATGAAAATTAAAAGCATATTTTAGCCATTTTTGTGCTTTCTTTTTCACTTTACGCTTAGAAAAACTGGTAGGAGCATAAATGACTATAGCATTGAGTTTATCGTGTTGATTACACGTCAAAATACTATACAGACTTGGAGAGAATAAATGAGACATTGAAGAGGCACATGAAATAAATTATATGAAATGCGTAAACCAATGTACACTTGTTTTCTACTCGATTGTATTTTTAATTTTGATTTATTTTTCCTGAGACCCACACTGCCTGTATTCTCTTCACTAGGTCATGCTTTGGCACTGCTTTCTTAATTTGAGAGGATGTAGTTATATATCAGTGGTTCTTTTCTAAATTCTAATATTATACCTCTGTTGACTTTTTCTGGAATTACTGAATGCTATTCTTGAAGAGCTTCCTTTTCCTTTACAGCTATGCTGACTAGATAAATCTGTAAATTAAATTTGGCTGTTTAGCTAAGGTAGATATGACCTTAGACCAAATATATCTATAACCAGTTGTCCTTATCTAATTAATTCAGCTAGTGTTCCATGTGGACTTCAGCTCTTTCACTTACTAGATATCTTGCTATGCCACTTTTTTGGAGGCATGAGAATAGTTCCATAATCCATCCATTTATCCACAGAACTATTAGTTATTCTCTGTGTTCCAGGCACTGGAGATATAATAGAAAACAAGGCAACCAGGGTATTTTGCTCACGGGGCTTACGGTCTACAAGGGTACATTACAAAATAAATACATGAACAAGATAATGGTACACTGAGATCTGTACAGTCTGTAGATCCAGTTCTCCTTCCCTATGTAAAGACCCTCAGTGAGTTTATATGACCTCAGAGTAAAGTGTAAGACTTTACATGTTGTGTTAGATAAGATCTGCTCCTGCCTGCCTCTCTAGATGCTTCCCTCCTTGTTTCCCATTTTATTGTCAGATTATACTTCCATAGGTCGGATTTGCCATCCCTGGAACGAATTTTTGGTATGCACAAGAAGGACAGGTTCATTTTTGATAAGGATTCAGAGGTTTCATTCCATGGTCTACTGGCTCCAGGGAACAAATATTAGGACAGAAGAGTGTGTTGGAGCAATGCTGCTTAGTTGATGTCTGTTAGAAAGGAAAACAGCACCTGAGAGGAAGGGGCCAGGGGCCCCAAGGTCATGCCTCCATGACCTGCTCAGACACAGCCAGAAGTGTGCTTCACTAATCCCCTTGGCAGCTCCCAAGCCTTTCAAATTAACAGTGAAGCTTAACCATCACATTCA